TGCATTGATGTTATTTTCAAATCTTTAGGTCAAACTAGCAGTGTGTATAATATTTGCAATAAGTTCTCTGAAACGTTCACAGGAGAAGTACGGAAAATAAAGCATAACTGTGATAATATTTTTTTAGATAGAATTTTTTAAATTGAAATTTCATATGTAAAACCGAGTGATAAATCTTTTTACTTTAAGAAGGTAGGAGCGTATACAGTAGAAAAATATAATTATAAATAATTTAGATTTTAACAATGCATCGGGATTACATAAAATTTGAGTACAAGATATAAAGCAGGTAAAGAAAGAAATAAGCCCAGTAAGGTGGGGGAGTTTACCTGGATATATTAAAAAAAGCAATAATACGACCAATATATAAACAGGCGAGCCACATGAACTATAGTAACTATAGACCAATTGCTATATTATCGGTAATAAATAAAATAGTAGAAAAAGTAATAGAGAATCAGATAAGTTGTTAGTTAGAACAATATAACATAATATCAGATGCGCAGCACGGGTTCCGTCGCGGACGCAGTACGGACACTGCGCTTGCGCAATACACCGACTATATCAACAGCAATCTCGATGAGAGTAAGTTTGTCGCTGCTCTTTTTATTGATTATAAAAAGGAATTCGACAACCTGAACACGAGGTACTACTGCGTGCGATGGATGAATGTGGTATCAGAGGTCCCATCAACCGATGGTTTAAACGCTATTTGCGAAATAGATCCTTATGTACATTAATAGACGGAGTAAACAGGAGACGATGTAAGCGTGAATCTTGGAGTGCCAACCGGATCGGTTTTCGGCCCGGTTGGGTACATTATGCATGTTAATGTGATAAAACATTGTAAGACGGCTATGTATGCAGAGACATGTACCTAATGTACTTGGCCAATAACACGAGTGATGCCCAAAAATACGTACAGGAGGATTTTTGGGCTCATGATAACGGTATAATTATAAACTAATCTAAAACAAAGACTATGTATGTAAGTTCACCCCACAGTAACGTATTTAAGCAAGGTAAATTAAACATAAATATAATTGGTCATACATACGAGTGTCTACACCTAAATAAAGCTGGCTGCCAGTGCGCAAATATAGATGTATTAGTTAAATACCGATACTTAGGCCTGACAGTAGATAGTAATATGAACTGGAAACTGCATGTCAATGGTGTATGTAATAAATTGCAATCATTACTGGGTCGATTCTTTCACCTAAGCAATTTCGTGAGTCGAAAAGTCTTGTATATTATACTGTATTATGCACTGGCTGACTCGGTTATCAATTATGGATTGAGCAGTTATGGGCTAACATTCAAAACACAGTTAGATCGTATAAAACATTTACAGATTAGGCTACTTAAGTATTTAGTAAGTAAAAAAAGTAAAATTACAGTGTAAAACCAATTATAACAAATTATTTAATATATGTAAAATACTTTCAGTGCACGAAAAAGTCGATTACCTAATTGCTTTAGAACAATATTAAATAAATAAATATAAACAACCTATAACGCATAAATATCGTACCAGGCAAGTTGAAAAGGTTAAATATGTGATACCACACATAAGAAACTATGGTAAGAGAACTAGGCAATATTTAACTCCGCTAATATTTAATAGAATAGATTTTATAAGAGATACGTCCAAAGACATAAGCACTGAAACATTAAAGAAAAGACTGAAAGATATATACATTCTTATAAAAAGTATAATGTAATAAATATACCTAAGATAAGTATGTATGTAACCTAAAATACATATTAATGTATAACAAATGAGCGCCATTATCGCCAACAAACCGTTGCACAGTTTGACGATGTTTATTATTATTGTAAATGCGTGTATTTTATATGAATAAAGGTATTAAAAAAAATGCACCATCCAAGCTACACAACAGCATTCGCGATGCGTGACGGTGTCGACGGATTCGCAGGATAAAATCGTTTACCCATTCAAACAGTCGCATTTCCGTCACGTAATGAAAATTCAGTGTAACAGCATTGTGTTTTTGAATAACCGCTATACGTCAACGACCACAACCCGATAAAGATAAATAGGTACCGTTGACCGAAGACAAACTGAGGCTATTAATCAAGCGGGAGACTAATTAACCACCGGAACGGATTGAAGCCGCTGCCATCATCGCACCTGCGTTAATGGCCATGCTGCTTTGGACTACTTGTAGAGGCAGCAATTTGCACTTAGCTAAATACGATGATTTATTTACGTGGTATTATTAAGCTCGTTTTACACACATATTTTGTTATATGAGGATGTCATAAATTATGCCTTTGTGTAATGGCAGTTGTGATTAAACTGTCTGAAGTCTAGACTAAACACTAGGCGTCTTAAATAAACCACGTTGTGATATACGTGTAAATAAATCACGATTTACTATTGTATTATCAGTAAAATTGTGACCTTGCATAATATACTGTGAGTCTGTGATGTTATTATTATAAATATATCAACGATCGTTGCTTTAAACACTTTAAAATACGCATCGACACGATCATTGTGTGTCAATTTTGAATCGAAGTTTTTATTAAAATTCAATTTTAAATAATTACTCATTGTCGACAGTATTTGGTGATTTTTGTAAAAAGTATATGAATCATCCACGACAGCTTCGAGCTGCTTGCACTTTTTCGGCACTGTAATTAATATTAAACAAATTTTACAGTTGCTGTCGAAGCTTCTTGCTCCACTCCATTGTTGAGTTTTTTGTCTGTAATTGTTTCTCGTTTAAACTTACGCCGTGAAACTTTAGTTGTTTTCAAACTGCATTCCTTTAGAAACAATGCAGTTGGAACTCGACAGCATGTACTAGTACTTATGGCCAGTGACTGCTTTTATACGAAGTTATCTTGATAATTTAATGAGAAGACAACGGCAAACTCTTCATCAATTGTATTCAATTGAACGCGCAATAAGGTGCGCGACACAATAGTTAGAAATATGAGAAGCTACGTGTAGTTATATATACTTTACTGCAAATTGTTCATGTGTACAAACAACAAAATCAATAAAGCATTTCTAGTATATATCTAAAAAAAAATTCGAAAGAATTATTTATAAGCAAAACGCGATCAAATTGTTCCCTACAAACGTTTCTTGCTACTGGTATTGAAATTTAGATTGGATAATGTATAACTAGCTGTTCCCCGCGACTTCTTCCGCGTGAATTTATTACGATTAGATTCCTTTTCTAAAATAAAAGTAGCCTTATTTACTCCTTATAACATCAGCTATTTGCCAGTGAAAGTTCCGACAAAATCATTTCAGCCATTTCGGAGATTAGCCGGACTAATTTACACAGACAAAAATTAAAAAAATTGTATTTTTGTTATAAGTGCCGTATATATTTTCATATGCATTTAAGAAAAACCTGTTACTTTGACATTACAAACAGACATTTCAATTTCATTTATTTGTATAGATATAGAGCATGAGACCGCGTTGAATAAATAACCCATTCATAAAATCGCGTCCTGTCGTTTTGCATGTTACCTTAATTTCAGAGAATATTTGATGTGTTACAAGGTATTACATAATGAAAATGCACGTAAGGCGGATGCCGGAATGGAGGATGGCAATCTGCTCCCCACGATTTGCGCGACAACGAGCTGCAAGGTCGGCGTCTGATTGTTGATAATAATAGCAGTTATGATACACCGACATAATGACCTAGTTCAATAGCGCTGCAATTTGTTAGGCTTTCCCCTACGTCGGTTGATATCACACACTTGACCTTGACTATCCGGCGTAGACCATCATCGTCATCTCCAAGTCGGTCACTTTCTCCTTTCGACTAGTTTATGTATTTCAGTATTGTCAAAACTTTTTGTAGTATTATTAACTTTACCTTTACCTTTTTGGACTATATTAAATTGGTGACAAACGAGCATACAGTACACCTGATGGTAGGTGGTTGCTGTGGCCCATAGATACCTAATCTATCCTCCATTACGAATCAAAATGCAGATGCGTTGCACCCGTGAGGATTAAGATGAAATACCTCGTTTCCATTAAAAAGAGTATCTGGTTTTCTACACCCACCATACGAAATACAGCAGAGTTAATCTGCCATTTGACGCTGGTATTATATGTATAAATATATTTGTGTTATACATGTGTAAACATATTTTACTTACTTAATAAAAATAATATCAAGACATTTTTATTAAAAAGACCTTGAAGTGAGCAGGTTATATTTATGCGAGTTATTATTTAAAGAATTTCATATATATATATATACACCTACATGTGCATGCTCAACGATATTTTCCGTAGTTGTTTTCTTCCGTAATTCACGTCAGGTCATCCCGTCGCTTTAACAAGATGATAGTGGGCACACGCTTTAGAGCCGGTTGTGAAACGTTACTATTTTTGGTGCACTGACGATTCTAACGAAGAATTTCATTGAATTGACAATAATGTCGCGTTTTTACAATGTCACGCTACGGTTTCTTTACTCATGTGGTCACGCTTCGATAATTCGATTTCCTTTTATATTCTGTTATCGTCGACTATGGTAAATATTATACTTTGTGTGCTATGTATTGGGAAATCTTGTACACCGAAGATAAAAAGTTGTGCATTATACGAATAAAATTATATAAAATAACGTTTAAACACTTGAGATAGACGATATTGGCACGGCTAGTTTAGATAAAGTCCTCACATGTGCACTAGCCATAGGCAATTCTAAAAGACCGACCATTTTTTTTAAACGGCCTGATGCGGGATCGAACTCGGAACCGTTGATCAACAGTCGTACTTACGACCACTAGAACAACGTGACAGTTATAGTCGAAGTTTAGATAGCAATGTACCTACTCTAAGTTTGGTTTCTTGTATCGTGTGTGTAGTTAACACCAATATTAAGTTAACAATAACGAAATCGCAAACAGTTCGTTAAGCATAAGTGATATTTAAGATTTATTTGTATATTATATTAAAAATGTGCAGTATTTTAAAATATATTTTTTACCTTTTTTATGTAGCAGTAATGATATTCCTTGGTTATTTGAATGTTGGACAAATCTGAAAATAAAATAAATGCCAAATTAAAATTATTGTACTGTTAAAGTACCGCTTTTAAATTAAAGAAAAAATAACGATAATCGAAAAATGGTATCTGCCTTTCCTGACGTTCATATAGTAAACAGTATTTTATTTTGTGTGGAACAAAACAAGAATAAACATTTTTCAGCGCAACCTATCGTTATTTTAAACTGGTACTTATTGTTCTTACATAAATATATAATTTCATCAAATTTATAATGCGTGGATTAATTAGTATCTTCCAATTGGTTTCGAGTTTTTATCACACATGTGAATAAAAATAATATTTCATACAGTTGCCTAAATTGTAATTTGCTTTCGAGAGCCCTTGGCCTTAATTAGTTTGTAGCTCATGGGAAATGTTCAAAAGCGGATACAATATGGAAACAGAATATTTGAAATCAAATTATGAATTACGATATTTCACTACCTAAGAATGAAATAACCACGTAATCATTTTAAATGATGTTAATGTCACTTGTATAGAGAAGTACTCTGGGAATAAAGTAGCTTATAAATTCTATAAACGGCTAATCTTTTAAGTAGCTTAATCAACGAGACTACTGCAGTGAGACAATGTAACTAGTTAAGTGACGATGCAGCTGCCTAACTTAGCATGACTTTTTTTTCAAGTTTTATCACACAACTACTATTTAAGACTATTAATAGCTACTTACATATTTATCCTTAGTGTTGAAAATATTTGCAGTATTTTCTCCTTTGTGATGTGTTTTAGAAATGCTAAGAAAATGAACTGTGTTAGAATGTGGTTAGTAAAGGTGTTTAAATTTTATTTACAAGAATCGTGTTAATAATTCTGATATCTAGTGCTTTGACTATTATGATTTTTTTCTAATTCTATCCGTTAGCCTATTCTTGGCTTTATCTATTTAGTATTATGTTTAAAGCCCTATAAATGCAAATTAGATAAATTAGCAAATGGCGTATATTTTACCTCGTTCGAACAGATATACGTCTGTTACGGTCAAATTTAGTATTTTTTATACTAACTTCCCGCTGAGCTAGAGAATTGAAGTTTATAGAAAATGCGATATTTCTGTCACCTTTTAAAACGTAAACAATGTAATTAGTATTTTTAGAGTTGCTGGTAATATTTAACTGTGTCATTTCAAATGTCACCTAGCGGTTATGCAGCAGTGAATCGGCCTTCAGCAGAGCACCGGGCCATTGTAGACGCCTCTTACAATGAAATATGAGGAAATTAGATATCTTAGTCTTTGTCGCTACGGCTGGAGTAATTACTTCGCTGCGCGCTCACGACCTAGTTATGCAGGATAGCTGCAGGTGGTTTGTTGCATATGCAATACGCAGTTTTGTCATTTCTATTTGTTCAGTTATAAGGTGTAACTGTAATGTCATTGCAGAGTTACGTACACATGTAATTTCTGATGTTTAAATGTTATTTAGTTATTCTTTTTTTTTTTGATTATGGAGTACAAACGTCTAATATTACGTTACATTAGTCATCATCATATCACCATTACAGCCCCTCACAAGTCTACTGCTGACAGGCTTCCTTCATAGTATAGCTCATGGGGGTTTATATGCCATAGTTGCCACGCTTGACATGAAGGTTGACAACCGCAGTTTTTTTAAATGTTATTAAGTTGTTATTATTTGGATGCTGCTCCCCATCTCTTGTTTCAGTTTCCTCTTACGACACGCACGGAATGATATGGGGTAGTATTATCTTACATTAATGTAAAGTTAATATTGTATATACAGCTTTTAATCTCCCTATTTATCAGTCTATTTAGATACGTATCCGATTCGAATATCTTCCTCGATCGATTGGCCAATTACTTTTACTATTAGATTCGCCGACGGCCGGATGTGGCGATCATTGGCAATCAGCGGTTCATTACTCAATTGAATATTAACTCGCACTGTTCTAATGCTGGTCAAGCCTTTATATATTACCTCTTTAAGATTGCAATATTTTTGCTGATCAAAAATTATTTCCTTTATAATACTAAAATAGTATTTTATTAATTAATCTCCCCTAAATGATTTGTCCCATTGCCGGAACAGTGTATGCGGACTTTAAAACAGTATCCCTGTATGGTATTATCGAACACGATTTGCGGTGGCATAGTCTCCTAATAGAATTGCTCAGTAAACCACAGACGCGAACATGGAACGGGATTTCCAATAACAATGGGGGAATCTGATGGGTAAACACAATTGCATATTGACAGGGATCAAATGACTAGAGGCAGGGCTACTGCGAGTACGTGCGGAGTGGAATCTCGACGGTCAAACTTTCGTATATTTAACGAATATTTCTACTAATGATATTATAAGCTTTTAAGAATATTTTTAATATTACTAATACTTATTTATAATTACATTCCTAAATGTTGTAATAAAAAGTCCCAAAAAAATAGTGACAATTTCTGTTCCCTACCGCAGCGTAAGGGCGTTTATACTTCACTTTTATGTTCTCATAATCTGTCACATAATAATCGCACTACAACCTGAATCTATAATGCATAGATTTTTTTATAGGATAGGGTAGATATATAGATAGGATAGATGCTAGTTGTGCACTCAATACGCTCTAATTATTATCATTTTGGGCTCTTGTAATATGCCGATGCAATCCACTTCATATCCTTAATTGACCGTTATACATTGCTGACTTATTACACCGTCTAACTTTTTAATAACTTTAAATTAAATATATATTTTTAAAATCAACTAATAATAAATGATTAAAACGTATTAAATATTTTTACCAAAATAAACTTCTTATGTACAAGCATTATTCTGTGTCAAAAATACATATAAATTTCAGAAAGAGAGCAGGGGGATGTAAACGACGTAGTTTCCTACGTTGCCATGGTGACGCCCCGCACGTGTTCAATCGGTTTTCGCCCAGTTTTCGCAGTCCGCTTCTACATTAGACCTACGTCAATTCGTAGGCCGTCCCTCTGTACAAGCCGATTAAGTGAACGATCAACTAAGCGTAATCGTTTGTAAAATTAAATTGAACATATTTTATCTATCCGTTTATGTTTAAAAAGCCGGACCTACCTTTTACTTTGAAATTGTTATGTTAAAATTGATAATCGCGATCACCCTATTGATAATATTTAGTGGCGCGAGATTTCATAGGAGTGCGTCGAAACGCTAGGGTGCGATTGTGTGTCTGCTCCCTGTTCTTAATTGCATTTTATTTATTCAACACTATGGTACTCTGGAACGGTCGCAAAACATACCCAAGGGGAGAGAGAGCTTGGCTCTTGTTGCTCATTAGTGTATACCGTAGTCCCGTCTTAGTTTAATCCCTAAATTAAATTTTTACGCACAACTTTTTATATACTATTCTTATTCATAATTATAAGTGATTTGTAATATGAACAAATCGTTTTAATTATTACTTCTTGTACTATTATTTATTCTGTGTTATTGGTTAAATAAACGCAAGGTAATACAATTCACGGAGAGGTTAATTGCCTCTTGTAGTATACAATGCACGATTGCGACATGATTCTAAAAATATTATTCTGTTAATTAGTTTCATTGTGAAGTCGATGCAAGCGTCGGGCTCTACATCCGTGCCTAACACTTGTGGAACTAGATTCTTTCTTATTTTTCATTACATAGGTTGAATATTATATAATAGAGTTAAACAAAAATTAATACAACATATTGATCACGAGCTGTAATAATGTGATTATCCTAGTGATAATGCTAGGTCATAGTTATGTTATTATTATAATTGCCTTCGGTTCTTAATTCGTCTGTAAAATTTCAGATTATTCAGATGTCCACAAGTGAGTGTAAAGTAAAGTAAATAATTAAAAATTTTGTACAACCGACTTCAATATAAATTATTAAGAATAACTCAAAATCTATTGATGAAACCTTGATCTTATATGAAACCACATGAGAAGCACCAGCTTTCAAATAAAAGAGAATCATTGAAATCGGTACACCCAGAAAAAAGTTATCAGGTAACACACATAAAGAACCGTCTCCTTTTTGAAGTCGGTAGAAAATCAATTACATTCATGATGTGTACTGTGTATGCTACACTGGTCAATCTAATAACAAATCGTTCGTAACATCGTGATGGTCTATAACGGAAAGTGAGTTAAACAGAATACCCACGTAGTTTTTTTTCCCAGCCAGAGGATGCTCCCTAAAACTGTGGGATATTGTAAAAAATATTTTATGAACTATGGACTTTTTATGTAATATTTCGTGTACGCATTGAATTAGTGTCATCAGTTGATTTAGTTCGTGCTGATGTCATACCTGCTTTGCTCAACAAAACCACCCCTCTTTGCTAATGCAATCGATACGGCGTACCCCGCATTAGATATTTATTACTGGCAGGATCACGGGGAAATCGAGGAAAATGGAAATCTATATCTCGAAGGCTTTTTAGCTTTGCGGAAAATTTGTCAATTTAATTATTACTGCCTGATATTTATAACAGAGTATGTTTCGATATTTCTGGAAATATAAACAATGTGCAGATACTTTTTATTTGAAATATTTTGATTATAAAATATAATGCAAAAAAAAACTGTTGTATGATATTAAACACAAAACATCAACTTTATAAGAATTCGTGGGAGATCGAAATACTATATTTTTAACGTTTAGCTATTTCTATGTTGAACTGCCATATATCGACTCTATGCATTTATAGCCGTAAATGATTCTTTAATTTTTTGTAGTATTTTCATACAGTATTTTCATATGCGTTGCTTTAAAATTTATTTACAAATTAGCTGGTCCGGCAAACGTTTTTCTGCTCTTTCCGGCGGCGCGGCGGGACAAATTTCACTTCCAACTTCATTTCGGACTTTTCAGTGTAAATTTTATTTGGATTAAATAAAGAAGAATTTATTATTTGACTACACCGGCACTTATCGGAACTTAGCATAATCTCGAAAAACAAACATACTGTGTGAATATGACTAATATACAATTATATATTATATAGATTTTATATATAAATAATATTATTTATAGATTTTATATATAAATAATATTATTTATAGATTTTAAATATAAGCATTAAAAATAATGTATTTAAGGCTGGTATGAGTTTGGATGTACTACTAGATATACTACAGGAATTAGAACAGATTAAGAACATTGATGCAGCTCGATAGCACAGTTGCTAAGCGTGCGGCTGTGGAACCCCGCCATGGGTTCGACTCCCACGTGCAGCAAGTATTTGTAAAGCGTACATAAATGTTGTTCTGGCTATTGGTCGATGTGCAGTTTTTTGTAAATACATACTACATATATATACAGGTGAATACCCTTGCATCGGGTGGTATTATAATTAAAACAATTTTTCAAAATTAAAAACTTTTATCAATTGAAGTTACATTAGGTATAATATTTTATTTTTTAAATAATTAATAAGTTTAAGTATATGACAAAAATTATAATATATTTATTAAATATACATTTAAAAATTATTTAAAATAGTTTTTAAATGTATAAAAATTAGTTAATTAGCCCATGCCATAGCCAGCCAGGTATTTACAACAATAGTATCCAGCTGCTACGTTTGAGATTTTTTTTTTATTGTAGTAAAACAACATTTGAGATATAATATGTACATATTTTAAAATGTAGCCATTTCAACGTACAAAACTTACTGTGGAATTGGCAGATATTATTAGGGTTGGTGCTTTACGCTAGCAAGTTGGCATTCCTATGGCCGCTTCCGCGCGCTATAATTACACCCG